CATTTTCCCCTTTCCTCATCATTAAGAGCTCCTTCAAATTCTCCCCCAGCCACCACTGCCTTAGTGCCACCTCCATTCACAGACTCCAGTAGAAATGCTTTCTATCCTAATTTAACATGCTGCAGGCAGCAATTGAAGTGGTAAAGCTGTGAACGGCAAGAAAATACTGTTTTTCCTTGCAATACAGGTTGGAAGACTCCTGAACAGCAAAAGCAGCTCTGAAGCTCCAGTAGCTAATACTTATTGAGGAAGATTTCCACCTTAAAATAGGCATCATCCACTTCTTCCCTTTGCTCCAGAGCACAACCCTTTCCTCCTCAACCAGAACCTCACAAACTAGCAGCTTTGCTATTCACACAAGTAACTCATGTGAAGAACTGACTTAATCTCTGTTGGCAAGGAGCTCTTTCCTGCAGAAGTACATCAGTGAAGCCTTCTAAAAAAAAAAAAAAAAAAAAATCCCTTGAGGATTAGTCCAACCCAACATCCCCTCACATCTCAGTTATGTTGTCTCTTTGGCCTTGACAGTCCTCAGCTTGGATCACTGGCATCCCCACTAAAAATTTTGTTAAAGGACAATTTTCCCAATTTTCCTGACTTGTACTTTCAAGGCTTCCTGTTCTTCCTTCCATGGCTCCCCAACTCCTTGTTATCACTTTTCACATTTATTTTACAGCCTAGCCTGCAGCCCACTAATCATACTCAACACAGCAGCAGCTGTGTCAGCCATGCTCTCCCTCATGCATGGTCAGATCTCCCTGCAAACACCCACCAAGTCTTCTCCTCTAAAATACTGCTGTTACCTGGCCTTTCCCTGCCTGTTTGTAACTGTGACCTGTTGTCACCCACCACAATCTGCTGGGTCTGCCAAGTGGAAGCTGTGTTTTATATGTGCACAGTTATTTGGGATGCAGTGATGGGCCATGGGATGCTGCAGCAACACACAGCAGCAAGAAGCAGAAGAAGGGATCCTACTTAGTGGTCCATCCTTAATTTAAAGCAGCAAGTCATTCCTAAAATAGAAATGCCATGCTGTTACTCCCATGTCGCTCGTTTTCCTCAGGTCTGATCCAGAGAGAATTGCAATCCCTCCTGGCTCCATCAGGCTGAGATGCTGACAGTGAGTTGAAAGTACATGGCTCAGGTTTGCTGAAAACAGCAGAAGAGCAGGGAATTATGAGTAAGGATTTGAAACATCACAAGATGTGGTTTTGATATTTACAGGGATTTCTATGACCTCAGAGGGAGCCCTTCCCACACAAAAGTAGAAGTGTGATGGAGAGTATCTTTATTTTCCCAGGAACAACCAAAACAGCCATCAAACTTGTCCTTTACAAGATGACAACAACCCTAATCACAGAGGCACACCAGGACCCACTTCAGGATTAGAATAAAACGACAGATGTTCCTCTTTAAAACCAGAAGTTGGAGAGTAAAATATCAGAGCCCTGGACAAAGCCCTCAAATGCCAAACAAGCGTCACAAAACAACCTGTAGGTTGGTCCTTCAGCTCTCAAGAACAGCTCACACTCCCAGCAACATGCATGTCTTGCACACGAGAAATCCAGCTGGTTTCAGTGTACAACTTTTTCCAACATATCCCTATGTATCACAACATGTATTAAGATTCAACTGATAAAACCTCTTTTTAAAAAGGGCACACAAGTTACAAGCCCATCCTAAGGAGACAGATGCTGATTACAGGAAGGTGTTCTCCATAACAATTCTCTTCCTAAATCATACCAATTGCCTAGTCCATTTAAAAGATGCATTTGCTATATCAGAAGAAAAAAGACCCTTATTATTAGCAATGTCTGAACGACTAGCCATCAAAGTTGTTTGCATAATGGACATGTTATTTTTTTTCTGCATAGTACTTCTTGAATCCCAGTAACACCTTCCCAGACAAAGTTCCATTAACATGCAAATGAAAAGTTCACACTCCTCCTTCCTGCAGTCCTACTCCAGACAGTACATAATTTAAGTCATAAGTGAAGGTAATGAAAGGATCAAAACAAGACAGGTGGGTTACACATGTGACAGTAATGCTTGCAAATCAGTCTCTCCTCTAATTACCACAGTATTTCCAGGAGGAATCGATTACAGCAATATGGATGGGATCCTAAAACTGAAAACATACTGGGTTAAACACTAATACAGTCATTGACTTATCAGTATATATATATATACACACACACATATATATATATATATATATTTAATGGAGGGTGGGGCCTAGCAAAATACAGAATTGATGGGGTTTTAAATATCTAGAAAGACCAGAATCCTGGACACAGAGGCTTTAAAATAGTCCCAGCAACACAACATACCAAAAATATAAATTAATCCACCAGGCTATAATTATACTTTGTGTTTTGTTTTTATTGTAAAGATTGGTGTAAGCATATAGCCAGGCAGGATGCCAAGCCTCAAACTGTGCTCTATTGACTGCTGAGGTCTCCGTTAGCCCAGAGTGCTCCAAACAGAAATATTGGTTTGCCCAGACCATGCCTAAAGATGATGCAATGCAACCTCTTCTCCACATCAGGCAAGCTTTGGACAAGAACCTAAATTGGACAAGAACCTAAATTAAACAAGTTCCCCTCTCCTTAAACCATTATACACACGCTACCCTATTTTCCGAGGAAAACAAGCTTTAGTTATTATCTAGCCTGGCCAACAGGCTCAGAAGTTACTGAAGGAAAGACTGCTTCAGCAAAAGTACGCAGACAATAAAGCTTCTACAACTTTTGTAACTAACAGGCAGTTGGGATGAGCCCCAGATCAGCATCCACACTGTAACTGTGGGGCTGACCTCTGCCCTTGCCATTTTTTGTTTGGCTGCAGCTGGCTGGTTACTCAGGACACTAACACCTGTCAACCAAGAGCTCACATAGCAGCCATGCATTTATTTTCCAGATGTTTGTCACAGCTTCCAGTTGTAGCTACACATTTGTGTTACCCAGTTTCTACACCTCTCTGATTTTTAGTGGTTCTGAGCCCTTGAAGCTTCAGCACACGGCCATCAGAGCTAGAAGTACTCAAAACCACTCCAAAATACATGATCTTGCATAGGACACAAAAGCCAATGAACCTCTTGTTAATAAATGTCTTCACAACTTGAGCCCTGTGTCTGGTCTCTTGAAGCACTACTGGTCTGGCAGATTACAGGGTTGCATTGTTTTGTCTTACTGACCCTTGAGGAGCTAACCAAAATGTCCAAGGTACTCACATACAAGGTCTGGCCTCCCTACCAAACTGTAAGACAAACATCTCTGAGCATTTCTGAATCTGCTATCTCTCTCCAGTGATGGTATCTGAGACTTAGAATAACAACACTCAACTTCAGACAACCCAACTTAGATGCCTACAATTCTGTGAAGAAGCCAAGGCTCCATCATTAAATGAACAAACCCAAGTGAATACAAATTCTTAGCCAAGGTATCTTTGCAAAGGTATTTACACTTTCTGAAAGGTCTTAAGTCTTAGTTAATGGGACTGCAGTTTGAGAGTAAGTTATCTGGGTTATACTTTCAAGTCTTTTGAATGTACAGAGCAAACTCCAAGTGACTGTATGCCTTTTGCCTCCATAAGAGGAAGAAATTACACAGCCAGTCATACCAGCCTGAGAAACCACTGAAATCCCACTGTTGTACCACAGTATTTAAATGAAGACATCCAGAAACATACACATTCTGCAAGAAAGAAACCCCTGAGAGTTAACAAGGCTCTTTCTGCTCAAGTGGAATTGAGCCAATATTGCAGCACCATGGGACTGCAACAAAAGTGCCATGTTCCACATGAGAGTCTCCTGATCCCTAGGAATTGCTGATCACATCAAAGCTAAAACCACAAATCAGGTAGTGTCGTTTTGTCTTTCTATTTCCCTGACTGTGTCAACTCCACCACTTGCAGTACTATTTCTCTTTTTTGCTATCCTCTCATACACGGCTGCCAGCTGCATTGCAACATCCATCACGCAGCACCTCACTGATAGCTGGTGGCTGCTAAGGCAATATTTACACTACAGTTTGCATTACAGACTATAAAATTCTTTGGAGCTCTTCCAAAGGAGAAGCCCCATGTAAATTGAAGTTATTATTGTCATCTAGCTGCTGAGTCCAGTTAAGAATTTGCTACCACTCACTGTGGAGACTGCAGATGTTTGAGACACTGATCAATGTGCAACAGAGGGGCTGAGCAATAAACTTCATTAACATTGCCCGTAACACTTTTCTTCAGTGGCATACAATAAATCACCAATGAATATTCAAGGCATCCCTCCGAGGGTATCTCAATTTTACAGATGGAGGCAACCAAGAGACAGAAAGTTTAGAAGTGACTTGCCTATAAACACAAAACAAATGCAGAATTCAATTGTCTTGCCTTCAAAGTACAAAATACTTCCTTCTAGAGGAAACAGAATTATACAGATTGATTTGCAGTGAAAGTAAGGAGACCACCATTCTCCAAAATCACTAATGGCTATTTCCACCTCAAGTTACAGCACTGGTTACCCACATTACAGTAACACCTACAGACTGCAGACAACTGCAGATTCACGCTGTACAAAGCAGGGACTAACAGATAAAGCCTATACCAAAGACCTTATCATGGCTAATAAAATCCAATCCATACATAAAATACAGGAACAATCAAAAAGAGACTAATGACTCAAACTGCGTAAGAGGAAGAACCAGAATGGACCAGTCCTCCAGAGTATCAGACATAACTAAGCATCACCCAACATTGCCCAGGAGATATTTTTAAAACCTTCTTCTGTGTCTCCAAGAACTGATGTCATCAAGCAAAATAAGGAATATTGTGAAAAATGTGTTAACACGATGGAAAGAATTTTTATGTACTTTCACACATTTTCCAACATGGAGTTTGACATTTAAGCAGGATGGCCTGGTTACTAAGGGCTACTCTAGGAATTGATGCAACACGATCACTGCTGCAATGACTGACAGCTGCAGTAAAACAATAATTCACACCAGGTTCTTCCTCCCTGTGGCAACAGCTTTTGTAAAACTGCAGGACTTAAATATTAAATAAGGTATCTCATTATTTCACAATCAGCCTCCTTTAACAGAATTAGCCTCAGCCCACAATGAATGTTTTCCTTCGTTATTTCATTGTGCAAATCAATACTCCATTTATTTTTAATTTCTTCAGTTCTGAATTTCTAACTAGGAGGGATTTGTTTTAAATATGCCTTTGTTTTTATTACTAAATATCAGCTAACCACCCACATGGCTGCAAAGGGAATCCACCTGGGGACACTGTCCCAAAAAAATTAACCTAGCAAACAAGATTAATTTTAAGATTGGTTTTAACCAAGCAGTTCCCCAATCCAGAAGCACAACAGATTAAAGACAACACTGATATAAATGTGACGGCCATTGACAAGAGACTGAAGGTTTACAATGAGTAAGGAGAAATTACTAATGAAGGAAGCACAAATGTCTCTGGCCATGCAGCAGCCTGAGAAGGAGCTTTAAAAATTCCCTGTAATACTTTCACATCTGCAGTAGAAAGTTGAGGAATGGTCCATAATAGCCGTGTGTAATGGCACAGAACAGGGAAATCTCAAGCAACTCCAGCACAGAGACGTCCAACATGACCCAGCAGACACTTCTCACAGGCCACTTTGAGAAGACACTTTTGTCAATGATTCCCAGTGACACAAAGGGACCAACTACCTGCACAGCTAAGTGCAAGTGCACCAAGACACAGTTTTCCTACAGAACTGTGACAGAACTTCTACTAAAAAAAAAAAAAAAAAGGAAAAATAATTATTTCCTAGTGGAGGGAAACACTATATTAACAAAAGTAGTTTTCAAGGTTTACAAACATAATGGAAATACTGAGAAGTACCTCCGGATCACAATATGGATATATTTAAGCTTGTTTTCCAGTCTTGGGGGAAGAAAAAGACTTCAGAATTTGGGGTTAGCGACTTAAGACGACACAGTTCATTTCTGCATCAAGCACACACTACATCCCTGCAAAGGGTGACCAGGGCATGCCAATGGCCAACAACAGATCAAAACACGAGACCTCATTCCTACAGATAACGCAAACCAGTTTCCAGCTGAGTCGCACACTCACACCTCCCTCTCCTAAATAGGTCGAGCAGAAATCTGTTAGCTCAGATTTAAGAGCTTGACTTTAGACTTCCCGTTTGCCTGCTGAAATTAAAGAATTAACAGAAACCTGGGTTTATTTGGGTGCTTTGTACGCACACACATCCATCTATCTATCCCAGCAAAACGCTTCTACCGTATTTTAGAAATGTGAATACTGCTGGCTTGAAGAAAATGGGCACAGTTCCCTTTTTAGAAGGAACAAATTGTTCAGAACAAGGACAAATGCAATAAAGAAATCAGGCACTGACTGCTTTTGCTGTTTCAAGCTTCTGGTACATGCAGCTCGGTTGGATACAGTATTTGCATGATTTTTTTTTTTAATAGACCCAACATTGTTCAAGAATCCTCCCATAACTACCTAATGCTCTCAAGAGCAAATATTTACAGTGGAGATTTTCATATTATCAGATACATGAGAAATGAGAGGGTGCCATTATCTTCTGTTGGCTACAGACAGGAGACAGCTATTTCCCACAGGGCTGGAGTAATTGCAATGGTGCAGATAGTCCCTTCACTTGGGTGTATTTTCAATAGAAAATGTGGAATTAGCTGCAAATTGTGTTAAAATGACCCCTTTAGAGCAAAAGCACTGTTCTGCAATTATGTCACAGAAACCATGATTCCGAAGAGGAGCAGAGCCCAAACCTATCACCTCACAGGTTGAACATGCAGCTGTATCTCCAGTTAACCAGGACATGGAGCTTGATGCTGGAACCAGCCATCTTAGGGTCCTCAGGAGTCAGTATGTCCTCAGAGACACATGGAAATCCCAAACCTGCCCTTACGCTCTTGTGAAAGCTACAGATTACTCCAGTCTTTGCTGAGGTTTTAATTAAACTCATTACCACGGGTTTATCTGAGTTAATACCTTTTCGCCATAGGACACAATGCACCATGAACTTCAGGGGAGATGCAAGAATAAAAAGGCAATGTTATTCCTCTTAATCATTTTCCCGCTATACAAAAATGAACGATACCCCCACAGCAATTTCAGGCTTGCTGGTTCTCACCTCCAAAAATTACTCATCTCAGGATGGCATAACCTGATGTCTCCAAAGGACTAACAGGGATACCAAATCAGTTAGGAAAGCTTTTTCAACCCTACATTTATTTTTCAGTTATTTGTCTTAAAAACTATAAAGAACAAAAGATTTTTATTTTTTTTTTTCAAGTGACAGTCGTCATCTCTCTCAGCTACTCAAGTTCAGTAGCCTTTATAATAAAGCTTGAATCTCCTGTGCTGGAGAAGATGGCATTTAAAACTCCCTTGTGCCATCAGAAAGCAACAGGTAAATAAGACCACACAGCAGCCCTTAGGGGATTTCTTGAGGTCACTAACAAGAAAACAATTTAAGAAATAAATTTACATACAAGTTTGTCTATAGTTTTTTAAAAAAGGATATTATTTTAAGTAAATACTCCCATGCTGCAGCCATAACTGTCATGAAAACACCACGCATTAGACCCTGGAAGCATAAGAAATGGTACTGTGGAGAACTTCACTAATTAGACATGAAGCTGGCTTTCTTAAACTTGTTAGATAAAAAGCCTTCACTGATCTATTTTCCATTACTGTGAGTTCAGGCAATGAAATTTAAATCACACAGAAGTGCTAATGATTATTTTTCAAGTCATCTTTTCATTACTGAAAGCATTATTTGCACCATAGCAAACCCAAAAATCTCTTTTTTAATCCTGACAATCCCTTTCACCTGTTCTTTGATCAACTGTAAATCTGCACGTTGGTGTTCACCTCTCAAGGTGTTGATCTACATCCTGACCATGGATCTGGGATTTTTCTGGAGCATAGATTTTTCTGGATCTCCCATCATTTCTGTATCTATGGATGCATGGGTATTTGGAGCCAAAGAGTGACAAAAGACAGGAGGGCTTGACAAGTTCCTGGGCTTTAAATTTCACCCATCGCAGGGCAGAGGATCGGTTGCCTGATCTACTAATCAGACACACATTCTTCTTTCTACCCAACATCTTTAATAACCTGCTCCCTATTGGAGAGTCATCTGAAGAAGACGTGATGCCATTTATGCCCATTCACAGCATTCCCCCAGATTCATTCGTAGCTGGGGAGTATCCAAGCTCCCAAAGGTTATTGCTGGACATCACTAGATAGAAGAGAAGCAGAGGGCTTCAAAGGGGAGGTGGGGGTGCTGCACTGGAGCAAGGAGAGGCTTAGGCAGATGAACAACAAGCAAAGAGAAAGCAGTTGGAAACAAGCCTGTCCCCAGTTCCCCTCAAGCTGGTACTGTCTCAGCAGTGACACCCCAAATGAAACATCCCATACAACCCCGTGCAGCTCTGTCAGAGGGCAACAGAGCTGGTGAAAGGGCAGGAAGGCATGTCCTGTAAGGAGTGGGTAAGGACTTTGGGTTTGTCTAGTTTGGAGAAAAAGATGCTGAGGGGTGACCTCACTGCTCCCTGCTGCTCAGGGAGGTGCTGATCTCTTCTCCCTGGTATCCAGTGTCAGGACACATGGGAATGGTTCAGAATTGCACCAGGAGGAGTTTAGACTGGACATTAGGCAGCATTTCTTTACCAAGAGAGTAGTCAAACACTTATGCCTTTATGCCAAACACAAACACAATGCCCTTAATAACATACTTTAACATTAGGTAAGCCCTGAATTGGTCAGGCAGTTGGACTAGATGATCCTTGTAGGTCCCTTCCAACTGAAAATATTCTATTCTAACTACCTGACTACTGTGGAGAGGGATCCCACACTTCCACAGCCAGGTAAGGGAGTGATCCCTCCTGCCGAAGAAATAAAAGCTCCTTTTTTTTGGATGCAAAGGGCTTAGTCCAAAACACTCTGGAAAGCATATGCAACCGATTGCTACTGCAGGATCCGAGAGTCTCATATGCAGTTGGATTCATTTTCTTCACTGTTCCAAACAAACTGGCATCAAGGCTCAGCACCAGCCTACAGGATGGTAGATCAATGGCAATTCCCTTTGTCAATAATGGGCTGGATTTATATCAAGAAATACTCCTACTTTAAATGCACACGTGCTGCCCTTTGAGTAACTGACTTTTTGCTTAATCAAAAAAGCAGAATTCAGTTTTCAGTAACTTCATACAGAGAAGCAGCAGCACTGTGCAGTATTGGGTTGGGCTGCCAGGGCCCTGCATTAAGTTCCTCTATCTGTGAAGAGTATCTTCAGCAGGACAGAGTTACCCAAGCACTGCTTGACTTTTGTGCACTTTGGCATCTCCAACACCATTTTTTTTCCCCTACCCTTTTAAATTCACCCTGCAGGATACAGTCTTTTGAGAAACCACGTGCAAACTCACATTTTGTTATACCAGCACAGCCTTTCCTTCCCTTCCTCTCTCCTCCCTTTCCCATTACTCTTTTCAAGGTCTAAAAGAAAACACTATTCAAATATTTAAAGGTTACAGTTAACTTTTAGTTCAGCAGTACATAAAAGAAAGTATTTCTGCTAAAAGGAAAGCAAAAAAACAGGGTATCCTTGATCTTTAAAAGGACAGTGGCAGATTTCCATGAGGCGCTCTCTATATCTAGCAAAGCAAGACCTTACAGAAGGTTTTCTCCTCTGTACAAACACTCCTTAATTATCTCCGGAAAAAAACAGGTGGCTTAAATTTTGCCTTAAGTATATAAGGAAAAAGTGCACCTCTGCATACAGACGTGCAGTGTAGCAAGAGCATTAACTCCAGGAGAGGCAAGATGACAAATAACAATTCAGTCTCAAGCTGTTTGCAACCTAAATATCTACCCCCAGCTCAATGCAACAAAACTCTCTAATGATTTTTACCTACGCAGGGTGAAATCAAATGGCATTATAACACAAATCTCATTAAGTCCTTCTTCAGGGGCAATGTTTAATAGCATGGATTAATTATGAAGGTGCTCTAGCAACAACGGACTTTAACATGGTCTTGACTATGTTTAAATACTGACAATGATTTTAAGGGACAAGTTCATCCCTGTTCTGCCCTTATTAATTCAACATACTAGCACCTAAGGAATATTTGACTCACAGACACTTTAAATTCATGATTTAAGTACAGGCTGACCAAGAGGTACCAGGATTATGAGACAGACATGACAGATCAGTTGTTCCACGTTGTAAGAGAACCATTAAAAATAAAATGAGGATTTAGTTAGCTATTGACAGAATCACTGGGGGGCAGGAAGCTAAATAATTTGCTGCAGAATGAAATTATGGGAACTGGAGAGTCAATCAAAACATTGCCTTAGGTCATCTCATCACCTCCAGCCAAAGCAGGGCTGTTGCTGAGCATCTTTTCCCCAAAGGTCGATGTTTTTGCTGTCAGAAACCCATCTGTAATACAGAAGATGATTTCATCGTCTCCTCAATCTCCTGCTGTGAAGTCTCTCAAGCATCCATGTGAGCTTCCCGGTTTAACCAGCCTCATCACTGCAAGGTATGCCCACCCTGCGAGCCGCAGTATTGCAATGAATCCCTCAAACTTTTGCATTGCCTGGTTATTTGGCAATACCCACAAACAAGCTCCTAGCACATTCCCCACTCCTCTTTCTGTACTTGCCAAGAGCAAGGCTTGCACCCAAACTGTTGGTTCTGCTCTAAAAATAAAAAGGCAATATGCCTTAAAATTAGAAAAGGAATTTATCTAATTCTCAGCTATTATAATTACTTATTTGGCTATATTTTGTGTAAAAATATGAAAATGCCAACAACCCTATACCCCCTCCACAAAAAACAAACCCAACTGCAGATACATCTGCCTGGGACACACCACAAAACTTAGAGCAAGCACCTCAATTTGCAGGTTGATGGATGCCAGCACGGCTGTCACAGCAAGGACCGAACAAAGGCAGCTCCAGAGCTAAAACCAGAAGCTCTGCAGCTTGAGTTAGAGCCCCCCAGTGCTCCAGCTCAGGCTGCAAGCAACATCTACCACCTGCAGCTGGGCCTGAGAAGAGGAGCATGCAGCCTAGATCTGGGGAAGGCAACAAATGGAGTTTCAGTTTACCTGCAGACACATTTCTCCCACTCCTCAATTCTCACCTTCCCTCCCCATGCCTGTTTGGGAAGTGAATACTCAGTTCTCCCTAAGACCCTTCTTCATCCATCCACTTCTCCCTTCAGAAACCCCAGGTGCCTCACCAGACCCCAACTCCAGGCTAGGGGTGGGGTGGGGGGAAAAAAAAAATATCACTGTCCTCTCATAGCTCAGCTCTGGGGCAGAGATGAAAGTGAAGTTTAAGGGACAGCAAGTCTGCCCAGCTTTGCTCTTCACAGTTCCCTTATCTTACCAATCTTTGAGTCCCCCTATACCTGAAGTTGTGAGACAGAGCAGCTTGAACCTCCTCCTGCAATAGTTCTAGGATAGGCAACTTAATACAGCACAGGGTGTCTAAGTGATGCCAGTAAAGCCAATTTGCAAAGATGTGATTTTTACTAACAAGCCAGTCAACAGCATCAAACTCAATTAAGAATGGAACTAAAATACAAGAAAACCGTACAGAGTATGACCACAAGACCACCTCGCCCTGAATCCCCTTTCAGAAACTGAACACTAGGAAGAAATTGGGGAAAAAGTAAGAGACCAGAAGAAATATTTAGTGTTGCCTTCCTGGGACAGCCTCCCTGCTTCCAGCAATTGGCATCTCAGGGATTTCTTGAATCACAGTAAATGCATACATTGCATCTAGGTCTTTGTAAAATCAGGATTCAAATTACTCCAAAGGAAGGGTGCCTTAGCTGATCTGTGCTTTTTCACAGCAATTACTCATCAGCTGAGTGATTTGCAGCTTTTGGCCCATATTTATGTGTCTATATTTCTGTTCCTACAAGGCAAAATTTCATCTTATTAATAGTGTGGATTTCTGAGCTATATTTTTAATCCATCTCTTACTGTAATATAACACAGCTTCAAATGCCAGCATGCAGGACAACATTGTCACAAGTCTCTCTAAATTCAATAAATCTAATAATTTGGAAAAATAATACCAAGAAGCATCAATAACAATATATACACATTTGTAAAGATGAAAGCAGAATCAAAAAGAGGGACAGCACAAAAATTGTATCACTTAAATACAGAAGCCCTGACCATGGATTTCTTGCTTGTTCTCCCCAACTTGTTTATCAATATTTCCCAGAACAATTCCCAGGCTACACTTTCAAATTATCACTTTATTTCCAGTGTGTTCTCTCCACAGCTAACAAAATCACTGCTATAAAACTTCTCCTTTTACAGCCAAGATGGGAAACCCTCTATTAGATTACCCTTCCCTCCCTTGTAAAGTAAAGAGGAAAATGTCATTCCAGGAAATAAAAAATGTTAAAAAAAGACCAACCAAACAAAGGCAACTCCTGCACACACTGTTGTTCTTCCCCTTTAAGTCAGTAACAAAGAGGAAGGAAGGAAAAAACACTGATAAAATAAAAGCAAGGAGGAGGTGTGGATGCAGCATGTTTATCCCACTTGAAGAGGGGAGGCTGTAAAAAGCCGTGCACTGCATACAGACACCCCAACCACCGCCTTGGTGTTTACAAACACTTTCATCAAACCAAACAGGGAGTTTCATTGTCCCCACTGCACTCATGTCACCCGTCCCCCAGCGCTGCAATTCCAGGGAGAGTCTGCCAGAGGACACACAGTGCCAGTTACACAAGAGAAGCGCAGAAGCAAATATGCAGCAGAGGGAAAGGGGG